CCAACAGGGCATTGGTGCCTTGGTCCACCCCCAACTTCAGCCAGCCCTGGATCTTGGGCACTGGTATGCCTGGCATACTTAGGGAGGTTTCTAGACACAAACTCAGAACTTTCCCATGTAGGCCAGCCTTGCAAGCATCACATTTTATTTATGCACCATTTCTTTTTTCCCCCACCACAGGGAACATGCACTTGCCAGAGAAAGACAGAAATGGAGAGAGTGAGGGAAAGTAAGAAACCACTCCCCACCCCATGGGAATGGCCATGACACAATCCTTTCCTCACTGTTCCCCTCTCAGGATTTTGGGTACACATGCACATGCACCCAGCATGTTTTTCAGGCCACCAGCTCTGGACCTTGAACTGTGGAGTCAGCTACGTGTGATCTAGTATCTTAACCACGAGGCCACCTGCTGGCCCAGTAACTTTCATTTTAATCATATATTTTATTTTAATCTCATTTGTTTATACAACGCTCATTAAGATTATAGTTTTCACACTACACAGCAGACATTTGAAATACTATTAAATTTTTATCTGTGTCAATGAATATTAATTTTAACAAGAATGTTGGCAAGATAGGAATTAGCTCAAGAAATCTAGTGTATATCTTGGTGACTAAGTTAATAACATATCATATTCTTGAAAATTGCTTAGAGCAGATTTCAAATATTCTCAGCACAAAAAAATGTAAAGTAATACAAATAATAAATGGCTTAATTTAGCCATTCCACGATGAAAACATATATCAAAACACTGGTTGTATGCCATAAATATATGGAGTTCTAATTTGTCAATTAAGAGATACATAAATAAAAATGAAAAAAGAAATTGAATGAAAATGCTTAATTATCCGATGAAAGAACAAGAGCTCCAGCTCCCTGACTGAGGAGGTAGAATTGCTCCTAGTCAGGGCTGAAGAAAAGCTTTGGGCCCTGCTGCCATGGGCCTGGCAATGGTATAGGGGTCCCCATGGTGAGGATCTAGGGGAGGTGGGGCTGCCCACTGGGCCCTGGGTCCCAGCCAGAGTCATTTGCTGTGCTCCACAGGCCCTGTCACCAGCAGCTATGGCTCCCCATGTGGAACTGGCAGGGTGCCCCTTTATTAGCAGCTCCTCTCCCTGTTAGCCTGGAAATTTCTGAGTGAAACACACAGGACACCGTGTTCCCACTCTGGAGCAGTAAACACAGTGTCTGCATCTGCTTCATCAATGAGACGAACTTTACTTACATTTAAGCAATACTTTATAATTCAGGTTCCCCTGAAAAATCACTGGCTCCTGTTATAAATGAAGACAGTGAGGCGGGTAACTCATTGGGGTCCTTCCAAGTCCCTGGGGCACAGGTCAGCCCCATTGTTCAGTGATGAAATGCTGGGTCCTGGGAGCTAGATCCCACGTGGGCCAACAGCATTTTGAATCCTGGCCCTGGTGGCTTGAAAAACACACTGGGCATGTACGCATGCATTCCCAAAATCCTGATAGAAAGGGAAAGTGGGAGAAGAAGGATTGTTGTGTGACCATTCTCCATTGGGCAGGGGAGGGCTTTCTTTCTCTGTCTCTGGTGAGTGCACATGCCCTCTGGTGAAAAATAAAATAATAAACTGTCATGTTTAAGAAAACGAGGGGTGTCCAACAGGTGGCATGGCAGTTAAGGCACTGGACTCCCACATAGCTGACCACAGTTTGAGTCCTGGACCCAGCAGCTTGAAAATCACACTGGACATGTGTACATGTTGCCCCAAATCCCAGAAGACAAATGGAGAAAGAATTGCAGTGTGGCTATTCCTCCTGAGGGGTGGCTTCTCACTTTCCCTCTCACTATCTCTCTGCCCAACAACTGTAAGTATCCTATAGCAAAATATTATTTGAAAAAAAGAAAGAAAATGAGGGATGGAGTTGGACTGGTACAGTGATTAGCAAAATAGTAGTGTTCCACTGCTGTAGAGGTAGGATCTGATCCCTGGTCAAGGGCCCTTCCTCCTGGGCCTTCTTTGAGACTCTCCCTGGCTGAGGATCCCACAGTTTCCAGAGTTAAAAGGGAAGAGTTTACGTTCATTTTTGTGATGTCCACGGGGCAAAGTCATGTCAGATTAAGCACAGCCTTTGGTTTTGTCCTGAGCCAAGTGACTATAAGATCCTCCTTTTCGGGACCAGCAGTTAGCGTAATGGCTATGTTGCTGAACTCCCATGTAGCTGACCGCGATTTGAGTCCCAGACCCGGTGGCTTGGACTCACGCCGGGCCTGTGTGAGTGTGTGCACAAGATCCCGAGAGGAGAACAGAGGAGAAGGGATTATGGCATGGCCATCCCCCCTGGGGGTGATTTCTCACTTTCTATCTCTCTGTCTCTCTCTTTCTGGCGAGCACACATGCACTATAGCAAAGAGAAAAAAAAAAAAAAAAACTCTCCAAAAAAAAATTCCTCCTTTTCTCAGCTTCCTGTTGGACAAGGGTGAGGTTGAGCAGTACAAGACAAAACAGCTTTTCAGGGAGCACCATATACAGTTGAAGGCATCATAACTGCCAGACCGATGCTTTGCTGACTCACTGCTTCCAGCCAGTAGCCAGCTCTGCATGATGGAATTGTGGGGAGATACAGGAAAATGCGAGAAGGGAGAGGCCGGGCTCTGCCTTCCACAGGATTTGCTTGTCTGCTGCAGCTCGCAGTCCAGGAAGGATGGAAGTCTCTGGGGCTGACCCTGGAAATGTTGCAGGTGAAGGCAGGCCTACCTTACCGTTTGGCCTCACACAAGCTTTCTGTGGATTAAATGAGATAATGTATGAGTGTTCTCAGAACAGAGTAAGTGGTGTCTGCTGAAATAGGAACAACTCCAGTAAATAATGACCTTAACAATTACAGTAATATTAGAGCAATAGTACGAGGGTCTTCAAAAAAGTTCGTGGAAAATGCATATTACGAAAACATTAAGTGCAGATTTCAAAATTTTTTGCACCAGAATAAGCTTATACTTTAAATCCATTTCCCACAGACTTTTTGAAGTCCCTTTGTACTAGAACACTTTCCATTTAATAATTATGGTAACAATCAATGTAGTAACATCCAATCAGTGGCGTGTGGGGAGGATGCCATGGGGGTGATTGCCCAGCGAGAAAGAATTTTATCAGTGACACCTGATAATAAACGGCAGCCTATATGGGAATGTCTTGTACTTTCCTCTCAATTTTGCTATGAACATAAAACTGTTCTAAAAAGTAAAGTTGGTTAAAAACATTGCTTTAATAACTGAAAAAGAGGGGAAAAATTGACATTGTTTTTCAATTCTTTCTTGATTTGTTTGTTTTTGCTATAGGGTGCAAACACTTGCCAGAGACAGAGACAGAGAGAAAAAATAAGAAAGCACCCTCGGGGGGCCGGGGGTGGACAGCCACACCGCAGTCCCTTCCCCTCCAGTTTCCTTTTGGGATTTTAGGCACACATGCCCATGCACCCAGTGCGACTCCCAAGCTTCTGGCCTGCGCCTCGAACCACGGAGTCATCCATGGGGGATCCAGTGCCTCAACCTCTATGTCAGTTTTCAACTCTTTTTTTTTTTTTTGGAGAGATTTTCACTGTAGGGCGCGTGCGCTCGCCAGATAGACAGAGAGAGACAGAGAGATAGAAAGCGAGAAATCACCCCCCAGGGGGGATGGACACACCGCAATCCCTTCTCCTCCATTCTCCTCTCGGGATCTTGGGCATGCACACACACACGTGCCCGGCATGAGTTTAAGCCACCGGGTCTGGGACTCGAACCACAGTCGACTACGTGGGAGTCCAGCAACATAGCCATTACGCTAACTGCTGGTCCCAGTTTTCAACTCTTTATTTTCCCATCAATGAGAGACAGTGAGACAGGCTTCCTCAAGAGAGTCTTACACTACATTCTGCCTTCAGTCTCCCTGGAAAATGGACACAGATATGCTGGCATACTCAGTGAAGTGGCCAAACTTGAACCTAGAGCTTCCCCACACAGGTCTGCCTTGCAAGCATTGTCTAACCACTGTGCCTCTGGTGCCTGTTCCATCATTCTTTTTAAAAAATGTATCCCATGGGACCAGCAGTTAGCATAATGGCTATGTCACTGGACTCCCATGTAGTCAACCACGGTTCAAGTCCCAGACCTGGCGACTTAAACTCACGCCGGGCACGTGTGCGGGCGTGCCCAAGATCCCGAGAGGAGAATGGAGGAGAAGGGATTGCAGTGTGGCCATCCCCCCCCGGGGGGGGGTGATTTCTCACTTTCTGTCTATCTGTCTCTCTCTGTCTCTGGCGAGCACACACACCCTATAGCAAAAACCTCTGCAAAAAATAAATAAATAAATAAATAAATAAAAATGTACCCCTTAGGGCCAGCAGGTGGCCATATGGCTGACTGTGGTTTGAGTCCCAGACCCGGCGGCTAGAAACTCACACCGAGCGTGTGTGCCCAAAATCTCAAGAGACTAGTGGAGGAGGAGGGATTGCAGCATGGCCATCTACCCTGGGGGGTTATTTCTACCTTTCTCTCTCTCCGTCTCCAGCAAGCACATACATCCTATAGCAAAAAAATCTCTCTAAAAAAATTGTTTTTAATAAATGCACCCCTTATTGCCTGGACTTGAGGTGGACCCACATTCCAGCACCCATGCCTCAGTGTGCCACTGATCATGATAGTAGTAGTTTTAAAGTTGCTGCATTGGCCATGCAGATGTGGGAACAAGTGACATGTGGATGGGAGAGTGAAGTGAGAAGGACGATAGTCCCGAGTCCCCCAGGTCACCACTGGGTGTTGAATGCTGGTGAAACTGGCCCAGGGCACTACCTTGGGCCCTCAGTGGCTCTGTTCACCGAGATGAGCAGCCATACCACCTCCACTCCCCATGGCTACAGCTGAATGGCGTGTCCCTGAGTGCCCAAAGGGCACCCACCCTACCGCCTCCCCTGGTGAGATCTTCAGGCAAGTCTTGTCGCCAGATTACCGCTGGGTTTGTGTAACGGATTGTCCTCTTTTCTTTGACTAGGAAAATGCCCAGATAATCAGAGAAGTGGAAGTAGACAAGGTCTCAGCGCTTTCCAGGGACCAGGTCGAAGCCATCAAGCAGCTCTGGAAAGATCCAGGAATCCAGGAGTGTTACGACAGGAGGAGGGAGTACCAGCTGTCGGACTCCACCAAATAGTGAGTACCAGGCGGAGCCCGGGCAGCTGCCCGTGTCCTTCCAGGCAAGCAGAGTCTGATTTTGAAGAAGCTTCTGGCAAATGAGCTGTTGCTAAAATGCAGGCGCCCAGGGACAACACTCCCTCTCTCTGCTTTTCATTAATCCCTCCTTTACTTCTTCATGCTTTCTCTTGCCATCTCTTAAACCTCTCAGTCACACCACGCATCCCAGTCTCTCTCTTGCCAGCACTCACCTCTTCTCAAAGTGTTCCAAACTTGTTTTCAACCAGTCAAATTTGGAATTGCCTTCAGGGGTCTGATCTCATTTGGAGAGATGAAATGATCTGAGTTAAACATGGAACACACCGACCTCTGGCTTCATTTTCCTCCTTTCCATCTCTCTGTCTTCCTGCTTTCTCAATCAGAGGACAGCAGGTCCCAAGACTCTAAACGCAAAGCCAGTTTAGACCCTCAGTGCTGGGCGCCCGCCATCGGCTGAGCTGGTGCTTCCCTCTAGTGACTCACTGAGGTATCTGCAGGCCTAGCACAAGCAGCTCAGCCCCACTGTGTTTATTGAGCACCTCCCACCTACACACTGTATTTTGGAATCATAAAGCTCAAGTTTTAAACCATAATTCCTATAAGCAAAGAGATGTCTATTTAGATAGTCCTGCATGTAGAATATCCCATAAAGTCCACAGAATTTTTTTTTCCTTTAGAGAGATTTTTGCTACAGGATGCATGTGCTTACTGGAGAGACAGAGAGACAGAAAGTGAGAAATCACTCTCACCCCCGCCCCTCCCAGGAGGATGGCCACGCCATAATCCCTTCTCCTCCACTCTCCTCTTGGGGTTTTGAGCACACTCTGCATGGGTTTTAAGCTGCCAGGTCTGGGACTCGAACAGCAGTCAACTGTGCGGAAGTCTAGCAATGTAACCGTTAGCCGTCTGCTTGTCCCATAGAATTTCACTTTCTTGAGAATTTCCCAAGGCTATGTCTCTGTCATCTGGTTCACTGGACGAAGAGTTTGATTCCTGCTTTTGCAGCTCAGCTCTTTCTCCCTCGCTACCATCTTCTGTCCTCTGGACTCTCTGTAGTCATTTCCCAAGACCCACCCCGTTCCCTTCACCTGGGGCCACTGTCCTCTGAACTGGCTTTTGGGGGGGGGCCAGCCCCGAGGCAGGGAAGGAAACAGGAAATGTGACCTCCTGAGGTTTCGCTGGCCTTCCTCCGGCGTTTGTTCCAGGCCCAGTGTTCATTGCCATTCGCCCAGGCTGGCACTACCAACCTAAGTACAGGAGCAACCATGAAGAAAGGCTGGGACATTTTAAAAACTTCTAATGAGGTGTTAGATCAGTGTAGACAGATGAAAGGAAGAAAGTGAGTTCAGGGAGGTGAGGCAGACTGCCTTTAACAGCTGGGGAGCCAGGGACAGTTCAGAGACAAAGACAGTCACGTTCCTGACCCTTCTTGGAGGGCCTGGTGTGATCGGCTTCTGTGAAGGCCCTGGGATTGGCTAGGGCTCTTGATGTAGTTCTATTTGAAAAAGATCCCCAGAGCTGTAAGAGAACTCAAGGTAGCCCTGAAAACTGGGGCGTCCACTGGGAGGGGGTGTGGGGAGAACCTGGCTCTCAGAAAGCTGCTCAGTTGCCACCCTCACAACAGGCAGGACTTGGGGCACCTGTGTCTCCTTGGTTCAGGTCAGTGGTTCTCATTCACTCTGCTAGTGAGGTCTGCACGAGCATTCACTGGGTGCACGCGATGTGTCGTTGCTGTGGTACCAGCTACAGGTTCAGCCAGTGCGCTCCGCTCTCCTGCTGAGGTGAGACAGGGAGACATCACACAATGGCACAGTGAGGATAGCAGCAAGGCCTGGAGTTGTATTTCTGGGCCTGGGGTGCCCTGGGGCTTTACCTTGTGAGCTGAAGATGGTCTGGTGGGCAGGGTTTGCTGGTCACCTCTGCTCTCCTTCCCACCAACCTTCTCAGCCCCTGATATCTGGGCTGTGCTGGGAGAAGGCATTGTCAGCCTCGGCCTGTAGGGGGCTCAGAATCACCCAGTCCATTGTTGGCCACAGCCTGAGTTGCACTTATTTTACTAAAAAATCCTTTTTATAAAGGCCTTACAGGTTTGAAAAAATGTTCTGTCATTTGACTACAGAAAAAGAGACATATTTTAAACTCAGGGCTTTACTATTAGATTGTCAAAAAAATCATGACATATTTTTGCATAGAAAAAAATACGTCATGACTTATCTGACAAACTAATACATGGCCAAAAATAATGTAAGACGTTTTGGGTTATTATAGGAGACATTTAGTTTCCAATGTCTTTTTAAAAAAAGAATTATTTAACTTTATTTACTGTTATTATTATTATTATTATAATTCACTATAGGGCATATGCAATCACCAGAGAGAGAGAGAGAGAAAAAGCCACCAGGTCTGGGACTCAAACCATGGTCAGTCATGTTGGAGTTCAGCACCTTAACCACTATGCTACCTATTGGCCCCCAGCTTTCCAATGTCTTTAGTAGGAAAACTTTCTATTGTTTTTTGAAAGAATTTCCTCCTCAATTGACGGTACATCTGTATATTCTCTTAAAAACTATTTAATTCATTGAGCCAAAGCTTTAGAAATGGCATCTACATTATATGATGGTCTTGTATGAGGCGAGCGGGAGGAGAAAGGGCCTTTGGAGAGAGCCATAGAGAGCCATTTCCAGCATCCTGGTCCTTGTGGTTTGCTGTGTCTCTCATCAGCCAAGCAGAGATGGAGCAGAGACCCTGAGCAGAGAAGGAAGAATGGCGGTGACCTGAAAATTTCCAAAAGGCTCATGAAAATGCTTCTGATAAATAGTCCCTTTAAAACAGTGGGGGACCAGCAGATGGAATAATGGTTACGTCGCTGGACTCCCACGTAACTGACCGTGGTTCGAGTCCTGGACCTGGTGGCTTAAAATTCATGCCAGGTGCATGCATGTGTGTGCATGCCCCAAATCCCAGGAAGAGAATGGAGAAGGGATTGTGGCATAGCCATTCACCTTGGGGGGTGATTTCTCGCCTTTTATCTCTCTGTTTCTGTCTCTCTAGCAAGTGCATGTGCCCTATAGCAAAAAGTATCTCTCTTTCTAAAACAAAACAAGACAAAACAATACAAAACAAAACAAAAAGCAGTGGAAGGGGTGATGGAGAGGCCTGGCTGAGAGTTGGTGCTCAAGGATGACGGAATCCATGGGTTATGGTTTGGCTCACAGCTTATGTTTGAGAATTCAGTCCTAGTGGGTGAAGATTGGATCATGGAGGCACTGGTCTAGGGAATGGGTGGATTATTACTGTCTCCAGAGAGGCTGAGTGAGTTCCAGCTCTCAAGGGAAGGAGTTTGTTCTCAAGAGAACAAGTTGTAAAAGACCTGTCTGCAGTTTCCTCCCTCTGAACAAGCCCGCCAGTCTCTGTGTCTGTCAGCCATCACACAAGCGGACCTGATGCCAGCCCTATACCTCGAATATAAATGACCTGGTCTTGGGTATTTCTGTTATCAACTCAATAGGGCAGTAAGACACCACATATCAGTGTAGGGTCACTGTGAGTTGGGGTGACTTCCCTTAAGTAGGATAGGTTGATTTCCGTTCTCTGACAGAGTTTCAGCCTCTCATTCTCTACTCTCTCAGTTACCTGACTGATATTGACCGAATCGCCATGCCATCATTCGTGCCAACGCAGCAAGATGTACTTCGGGTCCGTGTGCCCACCACTGGCATCATTGAGTATCCGTTCGACTTGGAAAACATCATCTTTCGGTAAGACTGTCTCCCCAATGTTGCCTGCCCAGGCTTTGAAGTTCCCAAATGGATTGTTATTTTACTTTTTCGTAAAGATTTCTGCCTTTAGGTACATGTGCTCACCAGAGAGACAGAGACAGAAGGAAAGTGAGAAATCACTCCCCGAGGGAGGATGGCCATGCCACAGTCCCTTCTCCTCCTTTCTCCTCTTGGGATCTTGGCCATGTATGTATACATGCCCAGTGTGAGTTTCAAGCCACTAGGTCTGGGACTTTAACCACGGTTATCCATGTGGGAGTCCAGCAACGTGACTGCTACACCATCTGCTGGCCCATCCAAGTGGATTCTTAAATGTGTTATCCTCAGCCAGGGGTATCTCTTATAGGGCAACATGTTCCTCTCCATCACAGGGCATTTTGAGTCATTGTGGGCTAAAGTCCTAGAATGGAGAAGAACTCATCTTCCTAGTGTCCTTAAGAGTTCTTGCTAGAAACTGGTACATTCTTACATGTAACACATACACAATGTCCTTGTGTAACTCATAAATTGTATATGCTGATTACTGCTGTTCTTCTCTTAGGTTGAATAACATTTCTCTATTTCCAGCTCCACAATTTATCCTTTTAAAAAGAAAAGAATGGATACAGCAGGTGGCACGGAAGTCAAGGTGGCTAGATCCCACATGGCTGACTGGGCAGTTCAAGTCCTGGATCCAGTGGCTTGAAAAACATGCCAGGTGCATGTGCATGCATGCCCAAAATTCTCAGAGGAGAAAAGAGAAGGGAGTGCAGTGTGGCCGTCCCCACCAGGGATGATTTTTCACTTTCTCTCCCTCTCTCTCTGGCAAGAGCATATACCTTATAGCAAAACTAAAAAGGAAAAGAATGTGAAGTGTGTATTAAAATTACATAATACAGGGACCAGCAGTTAGTGTAATGACTATGTCGCTGGACTCCCACGTAGTCGACCGTGGTTTGTGTCCCAGACCCGGTGGCTTAAAACTCACGCTGGGCACGTGTGCATGCGTGCCCAAGATCCCAGGAGGAGAACGGAGGAGAAGGAATTGTGGCGTGGCCATCCCCCCTGGGGGGTGATTTCTCGTTTTCTGTCTCTCTGTCTCTCTCTGTCTGTCTGGCAAGTGCACGCTCCCTATAGCTAAAACCTCTTTAAAAAATAAATAAATAAATAAATAATAAAATTATATGATATATACTAGATCAGTGCACAAGTAATAGAGGTTTTACATTGTTGAAATTTAATGTTTGCTATCAGAATACATTTCTAAACAAATGTGGTTATGTTATACATCATTTTAAACCTCATTTCTCACTTTATGTTATGTTTTTGTGTTTTTTTTTTTTTTGGCCACTGACTTATCACTGCTACTTATTTATTTTTTTCCCCACATTTTATTGACTCACAAAATACCTTAAACTAAAAAATATGGACAGAGCTAGAATGTAGTGACAAGTGCAGTGTAGTTTTCTTCTGAAACATTTTTTAATTAATTAATTTACATTCATTCCCTGAGCATTGTCACAGCATATAAAATGTGATTTCCCATCTAGAATATACTGCATAGTGGTTTAATCATACATATCATTAGTAATTTTCAATTTCTGGTTTCATATGTATATGTATGTGTGATTTTCCCCCTATTTCTCACCCTCTGCCATTTCCCACCCTTCTCCCACTCTATCTCAGGTGTTTACAGCTGTTTTCCATTCCTTTCCCCCCCACATTTTATTGATTCACAAAATTTCTTAAATAATCTAACTACTTTCAATAGCAAGTTTAGTTGGTATATACGTATCTGTGAATACATGTCTGACTTTAGGTGTGAAGCTCTGAGTAGAATGAATATACTATAAAGTAGCACCTGGCTGATGCTATATAACTTATTATGGTCATTAAATAGGTATTTTTAAAATATGTTTGTTAATTTCAAGAAGAGCAGTTTTAGCTTTAATGAATCAAAGAAATGCTAAGCATCTTTGCTTAAAACTTAAAGCCAGGAGACAAGTTAGGATTCTGTTCAATAGTAGGTACATGAACATATCAGCAGCTCAAGACAGGACAAAAATCCTTAAAACTAGAAAACAAAGCCTAGAAGAAAATCAGCGATGTTTTAATCAAAAATCATAAAATTCTATTTCACCAGTTCAGTCTCATGTACTTAATCTATCTTCTGTTGTTGTCCGATCTTCCTGATTAAATTCTGGGATATAATATTCAACTCCAGACTTGTCCCTGTGAATAAGTTCGGCATTTTCTTAGTTTTTGAACTCTCATTTCTGTGTGTCTGTATTTAATTTTTCTGGTCTAGCACTCCCTTCAGATCTTCTTGGAGATGTGGTCTGGTGTTGGTAAATTCTTTCAGGTTTTGTGTATCTGAGAATGTTCTTGTCTTTTCTTCCCATGTGAAGGATAGTCTTGCCGGGTAATGTATTCTTGGTTGAAATTCCTTTTCCCTTAACACTTTGAGTATATTTTCCCATTCTTTCCTCGCTCACATAGTTTCCCATGAGAGGTTTGCTATTAGTCTGATGAGATATCCTTTGTAGGTAACTTCATGTTTCTCTCTTGCCAATCTTAGTATCATGTCTTTGTGGTTTTGGTCAATCTGGCTATAATGTGTCTTGGAGAAGATCTTCTTGGGTTGATTCTATTTGGGGTCCTTTGTATTTCTTGGATCTGGATCTTTGACTCTCTAGGTTTGGAAAGTTTTGTTCCAGGATTTCATGGAATAGATTATCAATGCCCTTATGAGTCTCTTTTCCTTCAGGGATACCAGTTATTTAGATGTTTGGATGTTTGATGGTATCCAGTATTTCTCATATATTATTCTCATTGGGGGGGGGCAATTTTCTCAGTCTTTATGGTGGGTTTTTCTAGGACAGTGATTCTATCTTCTACATCTGAGATTCTATTTTCTGTATGATCTAGTCAGCATTTTATATTTTCAAGGGAGGTTTTGACTTCCTATATTATAGCCTTCATCTTTAGCAGGTCCATTTAATTCTTTTTTTTTATAGTATGTATTTCCTCTTTTAGATCTTTCAAGAATTTCCTCACCTCCTGGAACTTGTCAGCTCCTTTCTCCTGCCTCTTCTGCAGTTCATTGTCTCTCATCTCTTCCATCTCTGTGAGCTTTGTCATTATAAATATTCTAAATTCGTTATCAGACATTTCCATGAATTTCATTGTACTGTCTGAGGGTGAAGAGGAAGTATTATTTTCCCTGGAGGAGAGAAATTTTCTTGCTTTCCCATATTTCTTGTGTCCCTGCAATAATTTCTATTCATCTGATGGATGGTGTGTTTTTTCCCAATTCTTGAAGTTCAATCTGAGTGTTCAGAGGCGTGCCGAAGGAGGTGATCTGCGATCTCTCTTTCATTCCATTTTCATTCTTTGTGCATCAGATTCAGTGGGAACAGAGGAATATTCTAATTGTATTCAGATATTTGGATCCTGTTCACTTGGCCCTGTCTAGACACTTAGTGCATAGAGGCTGAGCAGCCAATGAATAAAGATAAAGAATTAGAGAATAGGGAAGAAGGAGAAAAAAAATAAAAAAGGAGAAAAAAATTAAAAAGATAATAAAAACGTTAGGTTTTAATATTAAAAAAGCAAAAAATGAAAACCACACTATTTCACAACTGAAGTTCAGTATCCATCTTAGGATGGGCCTGGCCTGGGTTTGTGCCTTTCCTAAGTGGCATGTGGAAAGGCACCAATGAGCACAATAAAGCAGGAGCTTGAGAGCCCAGAGAATACTTTACCCTAAAGAAAATGAAAAGTCGTGGAGAGACACAGTGAGACAGAGAGAAATGGAGAGGAGGCAGAGGTAGCCCTACCCACTAGAAATAAATCTGGAGTAACAAGTCTCAGCAGAAAATCGTCATTTTTGGTCAAGGAAATCAATATTTCAGAGCTGAAGTTCAGTATCCATCACCCACAGCAATGTTTTTAACAATATCACATGAGGCAGAAAGTCTTAAATAAACGTCAGATAAATCAACAGAACTTCACAGCCATCTGTAGGACTTTTGAAAAACCTTCATGGCCACCTTGACAGAGCCGTCAGCACAACAGCAGATTCTCCCAAGTGACTACGCCCACTGCTGTTTATTTTATATTTATTTTGTAAATGGAAATAATGTTAGACAAAAAGTGAATTAAAGTGATTTTCTTATGAGTTCAAAATAGGACAGAAGCAGTGGAGACAACTTGAAACACCATCAATGCAGCAGGCCAGGAGCTGCTGATGAACCGCTGTAACTGCAGTGGTGGTTCAAGTTTTGCAAAGGAGAAGAGAGCCTTGAAGACAGGAGTGCAGTGACTGGCCATTGGAAGTTGACAAGGACCAGTTGAGAGCAATCATCGGAGATCCTCTTAAAACGACCCAAGAAGTTGCTGAAGAACTCAACATCGACCCCACTCTATGCTCATTTGGCATTTGAAGCAAATTGGAAAGGTTAAAAAGCTCAATAAGTAGGTGCCTCATGAGTTGACTGAAAATCCAAAAAATCATTTTAAAGTGTCATCGTCTCTTATTCTACACAGCAATGAACCATGTTTCGATCAAATTGTGACGTGCAATGAGAAGTGGATTTTATAGTGCAACTACAATGACCAGCTCACTGGCTGAACTGAGAAGAAGCTCCAAAGTACAAAGTAAAAAAACAAGCTTGCACCTTAAAAAGATTATGGCTGCTGTTTAGTGGGGTCTGATCCACTGCAGCCTTCTGGATCTCGGCAAAACCATTACCTCTGTGATGTTCAGCAAATCAGTGAGACACACCGAAAATTGCAAAATGCCTGCGGCTGGCATTGATCAACTGAAAGAGCCCAATTCTTCTCCATGGCAACGCCCCACTGCACGTGGCATGACTGCTTCAAAGGTCGAATGAACCGGGGCACACAATTTTGCCTTACCCGCCATGTTCACCTGACCTCTCGCCAACTGACTGTCACTTCTTCATGCATCTCAACAACTTTTTGCAGGGAATACACTTCTACAACCAGCAGGATGGCATGGTGGTTAAGGCGTTGGACACTCCCAACATGACTGATTACGGTTCGAGTCCCAGACCTGATGGCTTGCTTTCTCATTTCCCTCTCTCTCTTTCTCTCTCTCTGGTCAAATTAAAATAAATGAATAAATAAATTAAATAAAATAAGTAATTCTTTTAAGAAAAAGATGCTTTCCAAGGGTTTGTTGAAGCCTGAAACACACATTTTTATGCTATAGAAATAAACATACTTATTTCTCATTGGCAAAAATGTGCGGGTTATATGGGTTCTAGTGTATGGATTCCTATTTTGATTAATAAAGATGTGTTTGAGCCTAGATATAATGATTTAAATTTCTTAGGCCAAAACCACAATAGCTTTTGCACTGACCTAATATAAAATACTTATACTTGTGTAAAAATGTATGAATTTCCACATATGAATGCAGAAAATACTTTTAGGATGACTCAAGTACTACATTTAATTACGGTTAAAAAATAATATGGGATATATACATAGCGCAGGAGATTTCAGAGCAACTCTGTCATAGTCATGCACTGCAGAACAAGGTTTTTGGTCTATGATAGACGTGTATATGACAATGGTCCCCTAAAATCAGACCACACAGCCAGGACGCATAGCAGGCTACGCCCTCTAGGTTTGTGTAAGTGCATGTGTGAGGTGACATTCCCTAAGGACACACTTCTCAGACTGCATCCTTGCTGGTAAGTGACATCACCTAGGACTACATTTCTTTTGTTCCTTGTAAGAGTTTTTTATTGCACAGCTTTTCCTGTTAGACAACACCAGGCCGGTCCTCTCACTTCTAGGTCCTCTTACCCTCATTTCTCCAAGGTTGTCGCTTTGAGGGAGCCCTCTGGTCTAGCCTCTCAATAGTTGTTCTGCATCTTTGTGATTAGATCCCTGATTACAATCATAGCCCTTTGCCTCTGTGCCCGTGAATTTAAACCTTTTCAGAATGAAAGCTTGCTTTTTTTTCCCTCCCCTTGGTGGTGGTGGTGGGGGGTTTGTCCTAGGGCATGTGCACTCACCATACAGACAGAGAGAGAGGCAGAGAGAGAAAGAAAGAAATCACCCCTAAGGAGGGATGGCCACACTGCAATCCCTTCTCCATTCTCCTCTCAGGATTTTGAGTAGCACACACATGTGTACAGTGTGAGTTTGAAGCCTCTGGGTTCAGGATTTGAACTGTAGGCAACTAAGGAGGAGTCTAGGAAGTTGTACAATCAATGCTTTTTGCAACTTCCAAATCCTCTCCAAGTGAGAGGAATCCTCTATCAAGAGCATGCATGTACTCTCTGGAGAGAAACAGAGAAAGTGAGAAATCACCCTCACACACACCCACAGGGGGATAGCCATACCACAATTCAGTCTCTTTCATCCTCTTGAGATTTTGGGCACATACATGTGCCTGGCATATTTTTAAAGCTACCAGGTTCAGGACACGAGCCGCTTAGTCAGTCACGTGGGATCCAGCCACCTTAATCTCCACGCCACTTGCTGGCTCCCCTGAGATGTTTTTTAGTTTATTTCTTCTGAGAGAGAGACAGAGAAAAGAGAGATACTTCTTCCTCCCTAACTGGGTCTTCATGCCATGATTCCTCACCCCCAACCAACCAGAACATGGGCATTGTGCACACTGGGATGTAAAAGGAGACCTCAGGACATGAAACCAGGACCTTCTCTTGGCTTCAGCACATGGAGAATCGCGTTACTGCTGCATACAGTGGCTGGCCTTGTTCTGTTTTCAAAAGCTGCTTTTCTTCTACGTTTATTCTTCTCAGGCACGAGTGAATGGGTTTTGCGTTACTTTTAGTGTCTGGTAAATGGGTTTGTCATTCACCAGTAGCACCTATTATTTTTACAGCTCATGGCACCTCCCCTTTCTGACTGCAGAATCCTGATCTTTAAGATGGAGGTCTTCACCTAATGTCTTCTTTGAGCCCAACCTCTTGTCAATTACTGTTCCCCCTTCCAGTTTCCTTCCCTGCTATGAGAGGGACAACCAGCCATGAATGTGAACCTGTCATTGCAGAAGTGGCTGTACCTCCAGAATGTGGTTCAAGGGCATGTTTGTTTGGTGTTTTTTGGTTTTTGTTTTTGTTTTTTTTTTCCAGCACCTTTCTGGATAACCATCAAGGGAGTTGGCTGAAGGCCACCTAACCACTTCAGGCATTGGGAAGGGTGTGTGTTTGGAGAGCAGGGTGTGCAATGAGGTGGGGGTGGTGGGTGTTACTTGGCAGTTATGGGCTGTGTCTGGCCCACAGATATATTCTCCTTGGACCATTGAGCTGGTATTTAAAAATTGGGGTGTTCTCCTAAAATGTTTGATGTCTAGTTTCTGCTGAAGGCAGGAGCTGGTAATAGCAAGTCTGTGTGGTGTGTGTAGCAGCGCTTGGCTGTCACGGTGTGCCAGCCACGCCTTTAGGCAGGGCCCCAGAGCTCAGGTAGAGCATACTGGTCAACGTTGGAGAGGCCCCCTTGACTCATTTCCATAAGCTCCTGACCTGGGGCATTTGAGCTGTGGCCCCTGAGTTGTGAGTGCCTGAAATCTTTCCCAAAGACACAGTCTTTACATTTCCACACTGGACCGAGGGCACTGGTGGGTCTCTATAGGGAAGAAGGGGTGGTCCAGCTTGTGAAGAAAGGATTTCTGGGTAAGTTAGAGGAGCCATGGAAACAAGAAGGGGCCTGCAGAGAGCTGGAGTGATCTGGAAGACTGTTTTGCTCTCCTGGGACTCCATGATGGCTGGAGCAAAACCCAAGAGGATGTTTGAGATTTCTGCCTGAACTATTGCAGTATCTCAGGCAGGCTTCCCTGAGGTACCCCTGCTTCTGTCTTCAGAAATTTCACTTCCTGGGACCAGTAGTTGGCATAATGGCTATGTCGCTGGACTCCCATGTAGTCGACTGTGGTTCACGTCCTGGACCCGGTGGCTTAAAACTCACGCCCGGCGTGTGTGCGTGCATGCCCAATATCCCGAGAGGAGAACGGAGGAGAAGGGATTGCGGCGTGGCCATCCCACTTGGGGGGTGATTTCTCGCTTTCTGTCTCTCTGTTTCTCTCAGTCTGTCTGGCGAGCGTACATGCCCTATAGCGAAAACCTCTCCAAAAAAAAAAAAAAAAAAAAAATTTCACTTCCTTTCTGTGCCTCTTTTGCAGAAAACATCCAGTGGTCCCTCATTGCCTAAAGCAACAGTGCGCAAATATTTTACACTTAGGCCCTCCTAAAAATTAGTGAGGACTCCAAAGAGCTCTGATTTCCATGTTATCATGACTGATGTCCTTTCCCCCAAAGAGTCCTGTTTTCTAACCTTGCAGTGATCTGTGTTTCTACCGAACAGGATGGTGGACGTTGGCGGCCAGCGATCTGAAAGACGGAAGTGGATCCACTGCTTTGAGAGTGTCACCTCCATTATTTTCTTGGTTGCTCTGAGCGAGTATGACCAGGTCCTGGCTGAGTGTGACAATGAGGTAAGCAGGGCGGCGAATTTAAGTAGCTGAGGAAAACAGAGACCTACTTCTGTAGTTTCCAAGAAGCCAGGTCGCTCAGGACAGGCTCTTTTCCTGAGGTTAAATACTCTTGCTTTCGAGTGTAGTCTGTGCACCAGCACCAGGCATCCCCTGGGTGCTTGTTAGAAAGGCAAACTTACATGCCCTATAGCAAAACCCTCCCCAAAAAAAAAAAAAAAAGAAATTTCACTTCCTTTCTGTGCCTCTTTTGCAGAAAACATCCAGTGGTCCCTCATTGCCTAAAGCAACAGTGCGCAAATATTTTACACTTAGGCCCTCCTAAAAATTAGTGAGGACTCCAAAGAGCTCTGATTTCCATGTTATCATGACTGATGTCCTTTCCCCCAAAGAGTCCTGTTTTCTAACCTTGCAGTGATCTGTGTTTCTACCGAACAGGATGGTGGACGTTGGCGGCCAGCGATCTGAAAGACGGAAGTGGATCCACTGCTTTGAGAGTGTCACCTCCATTATTTTCTTGGTTGCTCTGAGCGAGTATGACCAGGTCCTGGCTGAGTGTGACAATGAGGTAAGCAGGGCGGCGAATTTAAGTAGCTGAGGAAAACAGAGACCTACTTCTGTAGTTTCCAAGAAGCCAGGTCGCTCAGGACAGGCTCTTTTCCTGAGGTTAAATACTCTTGCTTTCGAGTGTAGTCTGTGCACCAGCACCAGGCATCCCCTGGGTGCTTGTTAGAAAGGCAAACCGAATGAATCACTTACATGGATTAATCGGAGTGTGCATTTTATAGAAGGTCTCAGCCATCAAATACATAGGGAAGGCTGGGAATCACTGGAACTCTGGCTCTCAAATGGAATTCCCTGGGGAATTTAAAGAAAAATCTAAATCTAAGAAATCTGGGTTCAACCCCAAATATTCCGATTTGATGGTAAGTGTAGCCTGAGCTTAGAATTTTTTTTTTTTTTTGAGAGGTTTTTACCACAGGGCACATGTGATTGCCAGACAGAGAAAGAAAGCAAGAAATCACCCCCCAGGAGGGATGGTCATGCTGCAATCCCTTCTCCTCCATTCTCCTCTCGGGATCTTGGGCACGCACGCACACGCGCCCGGCGTAAGTTTTAAGCCACTGGGTCCGGGACTCGAACCGTTGGTCGACTACATGGGAGTCCTGCGACATAGCCATTACGCTAACTGCTGGTCCCTTAGAATTTTTTTAAAAATAAGCTTCCCAGGTAAATCCAATGTGTTGCTAAGAGTAGAAATCTCTCAAATGCAGGTGTTCTCATCCTTGGAGGCCTATCAGACCCTTTAGGAAGCTTTAAAAAAATATCTTGGGCCAGCTCATAGCCTAGTGGTTAAAGGAGCCAGATTCCACATGGCCAAGCACAGTTCAAATCCCAACCCCAGTGGCTTGAAAATGTGTGTAAGTGTGCCTCAGATCCCAACAGAATAGAGAAATGAGGAGAAGGGACGGTGGCTCATCCACATCCCATTTGGGGTGGGGGTGCTTTCCCTGGCTCTCTCTGGCTCAGTCTCTGGACAGTGCATGTACCCTCCCCTCTGACAATTAAGAAACAAACTACCATCTTTTGAGCCCCATACTAGATATTTGTATTTACTGGGTTTAGGTTCCAGGTCTCTTTTTCAAGCCCCACAGGGATTCTAATGCATAGGAAAAGTTGAGCAACAGGATTTCTAATGAATTTTATCTGAGCATGGCTTTCCAAACTCCAGAAGCGCAAACTAGGTCCCCAGCTGAGTTGGCATGGGGAGCGGTGCCAGATGAGGCTGGGAGCTGCTCTGGCTGCCTGGGATTGTATAAAGCTGCCCTTCACTTGCCCTGGGTGGGGGAACTCACTCAGGGCAGCTGAGACTGTTCCAGCCCCACCAGGCACTTGGTGCCCCCACAGAGCTGCCACAGCTGGTGGGGCCAGCTCCATCATCTGGTCTACCTCGAGAGTGACAGGGGTATCAGTCACCTCTCTGTGAGCTCAGGAGTGTTTCCTGCCAGCTTCTCTGTCCTTTCTGTAGTCTTCCCCTGGACTTGCAAAGACCTCTTGACCTTCTAGAAAAACGTCTTGTTTCCAGGCATGAGAGTAAATCAATAAAGAACTCTGCCCAGGATTAGGCAGTAACGATGAACAAATCATGTCTTGTATTTCTTGAGAGCAGACTTTTCTCTGAGGAGCACTGCTACATTACCTAATTAGTGGAGGATTAACCCATTTACTGTGTCCCTGTGCACAGAGCAGAACTCTTGGCTGCTGGCCAGCTCTCCAAGTAAGGGTTTTTGGTTTTTTCTTCCTTTTTTTTTTTTTTTTTAAAGCAAAGACATCCAGTTATCAATATATATCAAAAAATACTTCCAATTTTGTCCACAAATTACCTGCAATGTTTCTCAGGAACCTGAAAAAAATTAGTCAGGTGCATAAGGGCTTAGTATCTCAGCCTTATGTGCTTTGGAATGAAACATTTTCTCCTCTTCTAAAAATCTCAAGGTATATGGAGAAAAGTTACATGAGTGCCACTTCAGGCTTTTTCCCTCCTGGTTATAGATATGTATTTTATCTACTCACTACTGTATACAAGGGCTCATCAAAAAAATCATGACAATATATATGAAAAAATTATGCATGGATTTCAGTAATTTTTTGCACCAAAATAAACTCATGTTTTTATTCCATTTTTTGCTTTTTGACGTCCCCTTGTATAGGAATTTCTTCATACACTATGTTTCTCTGGAGATCATTATCGATAAGTTCATAATAAAATTAAAGAAGTTTTAAAAATGGTTGAGGGGTTACTGCTCCGGGAATACAGCCCAGATTTTAATCCTCCCAAAATGTCACATTGGGAGAATGAGCTGGGTGTTGAGGGGTAGAAGTCAAGGTTTCTGGCCTGTCCCACTAGAGTGTGTGCTGAGCTTGGAGGTTTCTCACTCTACTTCCCTCCCTAAAGGCACCTTTGTTCATCCTTTTTAGACTTGTGAGATGGGGCCAGCAGGTGACATAGTGGTTAGGGTATTGGACTTCCACATGGCTGACTGTGGTTCATGTATTGGACCTGGTGGCTTGAAACTAATGCTGGGTGTGTGTGCATGTGTGCCCAAAATCCCAGGAGGAGAATGGAGGAGAAGGGATTGTAGCGTAGCATTCCCCTTGGAGGGAGTGTGATTTCTCACTCTCCTTCTCACTGTCTGCTGGCTTCTCTGCCCTCCCTATAGTCTTCCCCTGGACTTGCAAAGCAAGTACACATACCCTATGCCAAAAACCTTAATAAATATTAAAATAAAAATACTTGTGAGAGAGAACAATGTTATTAAGAGCAATTATTGTCACCAGATAAAATTTGTATGTGCCTTGTCTGCTCTCCATAAATGAGGAACACTCTGTATTTTCTTACTGTTGCCTAATGCTTAGAATATAGTTTCGCCTGGGCCAGCAAAGAGCATAGTGGCTACATCGCTGGACTCCCACATGACTGACCACAGTTTGAGTCCCAAACCTGGTGGTTTGAAAAGCACACTCAGGGGGCTGGCAGGTGGCACGGTGCTTGAGGTGCCGGACCTGGCTGACCATGGTTGGAGTCCCAGACCTGGCAGCTTGCTTTCTCACTTTCTCTCTCTATATATCTCTCTCTGGTCAAATTAAAATAATAATAATAATGGTGAATAAAACTAATTCTTTGGGGTCAGCAGGTGGTGTGGTGGTTAAGGTGCTGGACTCCCACATGGTGACCAGGGTTCAAGTCCTGGATCTGGTGACTTGCTTTCTCACTTTTCCTCCCTCCTTGTCTGTATCTCTCTGGGCAAATAAAGAATAATAATAACAAATAAATATATTAAATAAAAACAATTCTTTAAAAAAATAAAAAGAAAATCACACTTGGCATGTGTGCATGCATGCCCCAAATCTCAGGAGAGTGGAGAAGGGATTGCAGCATGGCCATCCCCCCAGGGGAGTGATTTCTCACTTTCCCTCTCACTACTCTGTCTCTCTCTGGTGAGCACACGTGCCCTATGGCAAAAACCTCTACAGAAAAAAAAAATATATATGTGTATGAGTGTGTATGTGTATGTATATATATATACACACACACATATTAGCCTTCTGTATAATCTGCTCCAGGTCCCACTATTATACATACAGGCATGGGAAAGTTATTCAATGTCCTGAACAACGGCGTGTTCTTCTGTCCCATGGGGAAAGCATGGCACAGAGTGGGTGCTTGGCGATCCAAAGAGCAGAGGCTCTGTTGGAACAGTCTTCCTTCCCTCGTGTTACCTGACCCCCGAGGTACAAGCAGAAGCCCGTATGCAAGTTCAGTGGCCACCTCAAGTCTGAAGGTAGCACTTCCCCGCCTGGCAACCCCACCTATACAACATGGAAAGCTCGGTCGGATGAGGACATGAACCTTCCTTCTCCGAGTTGCACAGAAGCCTATGTTTCCTTCCACGTTGGTTTTGGGCTGGAGAGGAGTGAGGTGCTGCCGAGGAGGAGGAGGAGACTCAGAGGCGATGACTGAGGGTGGAGGAGGGGCCGAGTGGAAGCAGGTGGCAGTGCCCTGCAGGCCGCGCCTGGCCCCAGCTTCAGCATCCACAGTGGCCCAGGGACTACAGCAGGGTGACAGCCCAGGGGATGGTTTCAGCATGTTTTTTCCCAAAGGATTGCTTTTCTTTCCTGTTTATTCTAAATCCCACATTTCTCACTTAGAACCGCATGGAAGAGAGCAAAGCCTTATTTAAAACCATCATCACCTACCCGTGGTTTCTGAACTCGTCTGTGATTTTGTTCCTAAACAAAAAAGACCTTTTGGAAGAGAAAATCATGTACTCTCATCTAATTAGCTACTTCCCGGAATACACAGGTAAGCGTTCCTCTCGGGGACAGCGTTTCCACTTCAAGCTTGTGGATCTCCAGGCAACTGATCCATTCCCACCTTTAAAAGGAAGCCCTAGCTGGGCCGCTGTCCCTGCCTCAGCACCTCCACATGTGCCTGTCCCCGGGCCCGATATGCTCGCCAGCCCCTTGGCTGATGCGTGTTCTCTAGGCCCCAGCCCATGCTGTTCTGCCCGTTGGTCCACGCAGCTGTGCCACTCTTCCTTCTGCTCCTTGGAGCGGGTTCCCTTTGCTCTCCACTGGCTGTCGCCACACCGTGCGGTGGTGTGTTAGCTCGCTCACTGTCTCCCTGTCAGCTCCTCAGGGCCAGGTGGTGCCCGACTTGGCATTCCCAGTGCCAGTCAGCACACCTGGCACTTACCGTAGGTTAAAAGTTGGCATCCCGTCCTTCAGCTCAGGGTGGCCACTGAAGACTTTATCCACGAGCTCTGCAGCACAGAAGCTCCTGCCCTCTTGCTGTGTCCTGCACAGGAGGCCTCAGGTGCTACCATGTGGCATCGCAAGGAGAGGGTGTGTGTCAGCACTCTCCTCGTTCCTATGTTAACCACATGGGTGGGGTAGTAGGGAACACTCAAGCTTTAAACTCGGAGGACCAGCAGACGGCATAATGGTTACATCGCTGGACTCCCACAGTCAACTGCAAGTCAAGTCCTGGACCCGGTGGCTTAAACTCACACCAGGCACATGTGAGTGCATGCCCAAGATCCTGAGAGGAGACTGGAAAAGGGATTGTGACATAGCCATCCTCCCTGGGGGGGTGATCTTTTGCTTTCTGTCTCTCCAGTGAGCACACTATAGTAAAAAACCTTTCAAAAAAATAAAAAATTTTAAAATTTTAAAATAAAATAAATTATAAAATTGGCCCAATCATGGTAGTTCCACCTTCTCCCTTTGCCCTCTCCTAGCCCACATTAGTCTATGAGTTAATAAGAATTATTTCTCTTCAAAGGTGATCGAACTCGGAAAAGTAAATTGGGTTGCTACTTTTAAAAAAAAATCACTTTAGGGAACCAGCAGTTAGTGTAATGGCTATGTCGCTGGACTCCCACGTAGTCGACCGCGGTTCGTGTCCTGGACCCGGTGGCTTAAAACTCACGCCGGGCGCGTGTGCGTGGGTGCCCAAGATCCCGAGAGGAGAATGGAGGAGAAGGGATTGCGGCGTGACCATCCCCCCTGGAGGGTGATTTCTCGCTTTCTGTCTCTATGTCTCTCTCTGTCTGGCGAGCGCACGCGCCCTACAGTGAAAATCTCTCAAAAAAAAAAATCACCTTAAAGTGATTTCTAGATACAAGTGGAGGCCCTGCAGTACTATTTTATGTGTTCTTAATGAGATACAGCAAAATATAGTGCTCCTGGTAAATTATTGAGATTAGGTTAGATGAAGGAAGATGCCTACTTAGAGTTCCTTAGACTGAGTCTTGGGAGGACAAGGTGGCGTCTCTATCTTTATATCTCTAATTGTCCTTTTGTGAGCAGGACCAAAGCAGGATGTCAAAGCTGCCAGAGACTTTATTCTGAAGCTTTATCAAGATCAGAATCCGGACAAAGAGAAAGTCATCTATTCCCACTTCACGTGTGCCACGGATACAGAGAACATCCGCTTTGTGTTTGCTGCTGTCAAAGACACGATCCTACAGCTAAACCTAAGGGAATTCAACCTAGTGTAAGAGCTGCCACCCGCTCCTGCTCCGTAACAGAAGACATGATTTGCAAGCTCCTCCTTTTATCTGCAAGTGCTTCTGACATCACGAGAGCCCGCCCCAAGCCAGGCAGGACTGCCACAGACCAGACCATGCGGACGAGATGGGTGAGGGAAGCTGGGGGACACAAGTTTACCAAAACTTTTCAAAAGTCTTTATTCTCAATTGTTTTTATAATTCTTTTCTTGACTTCTGGCTGAGATTTTATGTAATTTTTGAATTTGGTATTTTATAGAATTTTAAAAAGCCACTGTGATTCACCGTGTTTCTTTAATTAAATTTTAAGTGTGTTTAATAGCCATTAAAAATCATGTAACAGAGGGACCTATTAATTTACAGATCGTCCCTTGAGATTTTCAGGATTAATCTGGGTGATTTTTTTTTAAAGAATGTTAATAGGTTTGATGTTTTTTACTAAATCTTGTCATTTAGAGACAATTCTAATTGTTTTTCTCTCCTCACGCTGAAACATGACTCCTTTTATCATGTAACCAAAGACTGTTAAGATGTTTTTTTGTGTGCTTTCTAAGCCAAGTTAGTGAATACATCATCTAATTTAGTTTTGCCATAATTCAGTCACCCTAAAGGTCAAGCCAAAATAGATAAGTGGGCTCTAGATTGCATGTATGCTCTACTGGTGGAAATGCATGTATGTATCTGTATGAATGTTTTCCAACGTGTGACCAGGTCTTTGTAAGCTTATGAAATGGCTAAAAGCCATGTTGTTTAACAAATGGTATGTAACCCCTGCCAAAGTTCTGAAGGCCACCATCGATTCACTATGTTTGAACTATGTACGTTGCGCAGTTTGAAGAGGCTAAGAATATACCATTCTGTCATCAGCACTGGGTTGCTGTGTTTCTTAGAGTGCATGGTTAGTAGACGGTTCTGATCCTAAAGAAAAAAATGCTGGGGTCAGCAGTGGTGTCGTGGTAGAGTGCTGGACTCCCACATGGCTGACTCTGGTTCAAGTCCTGGACCTGGCGGCTTGCTTTCTCACTTTCTCTCTCTCTGTCCCCCTTTTGTCAAATTAAAATAAATAAAGTAAAATAAAATCATTCTTAAAAAAAAAAAAAAGAAAATACACTTAAAAAATAAAGAACCACATAACCCAGTAACTCAGACATTCCCGTTTCTCTGACGCAAGTCTAAGCTTCACTGTGCTACACTGGTGTTCCCGGAGCAGCTGGCTTGGTGAAGCAGAATCTTCTGAGAGGTACAAAATGATAAAGTAAAGGCCCTTGGTGGCTTGGTTTCTTTTTATTTGAAGGTGCACACACACGAAACACTTAGGCATCCGTTATCTTGAACACACGGACTGGTTATGTTATGGAACGAGTCAGCATCCCGACAGCCGCCCTCCGCGTACTTTTCCGCCGGTTACTGGACCAGCAAGTTGTCAGTGTGCCGGAACAAGTCCGAGCGTGAAGCTGGGAGAAGAGTGGCAGGGCCGGGAAAGACAGGCTCTGCCTGTACCTGGCAGTCATGGCAGCACAGCAGTACTGCTTCTGAACTGTCACTCAAGCGATGAATGCAGTTAGCAGTGAGACTTGACAAACTGCGGTGAGGATTCATCTGGAACGGTAAAGGTTCAGGACTGGCCAGGATGATTTTGTACAAGAGAATGCAGGAAGATATTTAAGCTATATCTAGAGACATAAAAAGACAAAACACACTCACTCCCATGGGCTTAAAAGTTATGAACCATCAACCGCCCTGTGAAAAGGGTTGGACAGAGTCAGTAACCCGGGAAAATAAATGATGTGGAGTTTTTAAAATGTCATTTTCTAACATTGTGTATTTTTAATAAAATTTTATGTACGATAGAATCTATGTGTACACTGAAGACAGAGAGGTTAGAACGTTTTTTTTTTTTGGAGAGATTTTCACTGTAGGGCGCGTGCGCTCGCCAGACAGACAGAGAGAGACATAGAGACAGAAAGCGAGAAATCACCCCCCAGGGGGGATGGTCACGCCGCAATCACTTCTCCTCCATTCTCTTCTCGGGATCTTGGGCACGCACACACACGCGCCCGGCGTGAGTTTTAAGCCACCGGGTCCGGGACGTGAACCGCGGTCGACTACGTGGGAGTCCAGCGACATAGCCATTACACTAACTGCTGGTTCCCAGAGAGGTTAGAACGTTTGACAGGCTCTTGTCACATCAAGATCGCCTCTCCCCAGCTTGTTAGTACCTTGGGTGTAAAGGTTCCCAGCCTGTGTGTTTTCGAGACGGCCCAAGGAGCTGAACCCATGGTAAGCCATTTGGCTTCTAGCACTGCAGTTCAGTTTGGTACCAACTCCACCACTTGACCCACCCAAGCTGAGTCAAGTTTTTAATGTATCTTTGAATAAAAAAAACATACAAGATAAAGATGGCTTTCAATAATTCTAGTTACAGGAGGTTTTTTTTTTTTTTTTTTTTTTTTTGAGGGGTTTTTGCTATAGGGTGAGCATGCTTGCTGGAAAGAGAAGGCAGAGAGACAGCGAGAAATCACCCCCTAGGGGGGATGGCCACGCTGCAATCCCTTCTCCTCCATTCTCTTCTCGGGATCTTGGGTACACACGCACACACGCCCGGGGTGAGTTTAAGCCACCAAGTCCGGGACTCGAACCACAGCCGACTACACGGGAGTCCAGCAACATAACCATTATGCCAACTGCTGGTCCTGCAGGAGGGCTTTTGGAAAAAAAAAAAAATTAGAAGTGAGGCCAGCAGATGGCGTCATGGTTAAGGTGCTGGACTCCCTCGTGGCCGACTGCAGTTCAACTCTTGGACTCAGTGGCTTGAAACTCATGCTGGGCGCATGTGCATATGTGCCCAAAATCCTGACAGGAGAATGAAGAAGGGATTGAGGCATGGCCATCACCCCCTGGGGGTGGCCTCTGTCTCTCTGACAAGTGCACATGCCCTGTAACCAAAATCTCTCCAAGAAGACAAAAAACCTATTAGGAAAAAAAGAATGGTAATAAAATGTTAAGGCCAAACTGTTCCCTATCAAAGGTTAATAGATTAGCTCTGCTAATACTGATTCTGCAGGTGGGAAATCCTCCCCAGCCATTCCTTCAAATAGACTTATTACTTACTAAGGAAATGAGTCATCTGAAGTTTTCTGAGGTTGAAATGCACAGTGCTGGTGGTTAAGAATTCACTGTGTGTCACGAATCAGGCTCAGCGAAGGCAATGCTGGGCTAGAATGCTGTCCCTCTGAGGGATCAGGACACTGGCCATCTGTGAGTTATGATTTAGGCCCCAAAGATGGTAGAGTCTAGAAAGACTAGGCAAGGGAAGACTTCGGTAATGTTTCCTAGTTCTGTCTGGTAACTAAAAACAAAAGCAGACTGACGAACAGAAATCTTTGACTCCATTTATTTGAAAATGTATACATGGTTAAGTTGAGCAGTTGTCTTACCATGCAATCCAAATCTACCAATACCAAAAAATAAGTACCATAAAAAAAATCACTAGCATGGTCAATTTTTAGAAAAACAAAAACAACCCCCCAAAAAGCAGTAAGTTCAGTTTAAGAGGAAGAACTTCACTGTAAATGTTTACATTTGTAAATTTTCTTATCAAAATACACAAAACTAAGGCGGAGACCGTGAAACAGGTGGCAGCTGGGCCACACCCACACAGGAAGAATAGAAAAGTGGAAGAAGTAGCGCACTGATGCAGAAATAATATTTAGGAAGCTGTCACTACCAGTGAACATATTTCCACCAAACAAGCATTCCAAAGAAAAAAAGACTATTTGGTCAATATAAAAATGGGCAAGAAAATGTTTTTAAAGTACACCTGCCTTGAACATTTTTTAATATGTACTACAAAGCCACATACAGAGATGTTTAAAGAAGTCTGTAACGCTCTGGTCTTGTAACAAGTCCCCAGTATAATTTCTGAGAGTCCGATAGTGTAAAATCAGTGACATTGAGAGGACGTCAATGCAATCTGCACTTTTTTTGAGCCCAGGAATTGGGTAACCAAACACCGGAGGAATAATGGCATAACAAGAACGACCGGGGGTTCCGACGTGCCCTACTTTAAGAACACGTCTGTGTTTTAGACATTCCAGTCTTGCGGGATGCTTGTTACAAGGATTCTTGTTCATTACATGGAGCACATTATCGAGGAGTCAGAGCAAGGCTGAGTGAGTGGTGTTCGGTGACAGACTCTGGGATTTTCTAGCATACTGTCTGATGTCTCTCCTAGCAGGTATTCGGCTATGATACAAATTAAGTTGCATATGCATAAAATAATATAAACTTAAAAAATACCCATATGAAGTTATAAAATTGTAGGTTACATTTCTCATGTTGCTCTTTGGGTAAACAAAATAATTTTTTGGAAAATGCCACAATACTTTTTTAACAGTAGAACTAATCCACAATTCTAAAGTTAAAAAAATTAAATGACATGGAACAATTTATTTTACAAAAACAAACAAACAAAAAGAAAACAAAAATGTTTCAACTAAAGAAACGTAAGGCTTACACGAGATGGAGCCAGCAACTTCTCCCATGCGGGTCTTGCTTTTAAGGTAGCCCGGAAACAGATACTCTTAGGTTGTCGGAAAAGTCACAATGTATTTTTCTGTTTTTCTAGGCAAAGCTGTGTCATGACTTCCCTGACAACCCAAAGCATTAGGAAAACTTTGGTAGCAACAAAAGAAGAGGGGGAAGAAAACTGCACTGATAGCTGTATTGGCCAACTCAAACCACAGAACTGTAACGTTTTAACTGCCTGACCCTAGGCTGATTAGGTTAGCATTAGCAGTGAAGTGTAGCTTTAAACGCATACTCTAAAAGATTTAGGCAGGAGGCTGAATTTTAGGGTCTCATTTTTGAGTAAAGGAACTCCATGTAATGTTGAATAGCACCAAAGAAAATCAGGTTGACTAAATTCTGTATTGAGTCTCGCATAAAGAATACAAATTATCTCCATTTTCTTCTTAGATCTGAAATGAGGAAATACGTCATTTTTAGTTAAGCTGCACTGCTGTATAGCACCCCTGTGGGTATTCTGGCCCTGCCCTATGTGCCCTATATATTTCCTTTTTTTTTTTTTTTTTGGAGAGGTTTTTGCTATAGGGCACGTGTGCTCGCCAGAAAGAGACAGAGAGACGGTGAGAAATCACCCCCCCAGGGAAGATGGCCACGCCGCAATCCCTTCTCCTCCATTCTCCTCTTGGGAACGCACGCACACGCACCCGACGTGAGCTTAAGCCACCAGGTCCAGGACTCAAACCATGGTCGGCTACATGGGAGTCCAGCGACATAGCCATGACGCTAACTGCTGGTCCATATATTCCCCATTTTTAAATGCCTTTGCCACCTGTATGATCAGCCAGAAGGAAGATGGAGCAAATTCAATTTACTCAAGAGGAAAACTGTCCCCAGTTCTAGTAAATCGCTTAATGGCAAAGAAGTTGAACTACATCCAGTTAAATGATAGCCTGTGACCTTTTTGAAGTACTCTGCCTTTTCTGGTCCAGCTGATTTCATGACCCACTAGTGGGTTAATACCTATACTTTGAAAAACACTTGTCTTTCAGGATTTTGATTCACATGCAGAAAAGGTAAAAAGCAATAATGCTGGTATCTGAAAAGATTTCTCCAAGTTACTGGGTTGTTGGAAAAGTCATGATGCATTTTTGCAAAGAAAAATATATTGCCTGGATCATGAAAACACCCAGTACCAGACGGCTCCTTCCAAGTTCAGTGTATTCGGGACACCCTTTCAGCATCTATATACAAACAAGCTAAGTACACTGTCTCCGTCATTTGCATACTACAGGGGCCTGTGTGAGGGGGCACCCAGCACCCAGCTTTCAGCTGTATGTGGTTACAGTGCTAGACTCCTACAAGGCTGACCATGATTCAAGTCCCGGATTGGAAATTAGGCTAGGCGCGTGTGCCTGCAGGTCCAGAACCCCAGGAAGACAACAGAGGAAGAGACTGTGGCGTGGCCATCCCCACCCTGGGCGGGCATTTTCTCACTTTCCTTCTCACTGTCTATGTCTCTTCCTTATGGCAAAAACCTTAAAAAAATTAAAATGGAAGTCACTGGAAAAGTGACTTTCAAATACCAAAGATTCTAGACTCCATCCCATTCAAGAGGAAAAAAAAAAAAAAAAAAAGAATTAAATACAGGACTATAAGTTGTGAAATCCTATGCTAAAAAGACTGGCTTATTATCTAGTCAGCTATTGAAGTTCTTTTTTGCTGTTGTTTAGATGAAGACAATCTTTTAAAAAATTGATTTAAATTAATTTATGCATGTATGTATATATTTATTTAGAAGACAATCTTCTAAAACAACTGATAAACAATAGCTCTGGCAATCATGGGTCCTTCTACTTCAGAGACAGAGGAAGTGATGGGAGTGATGGTGGAGAAAAACAAAGATATCTCTAAGTTCTTACTGGTGAGAGAAGAGAAAAAACAGGCACTTCGGCTTTGTATGTGTACTTGCTACAAAGAATTGCTATGCTTACCAGTCTAATCTTTAGCTTTACTGTGGGACATGCATTATTATGGGGTCTATAATTTATCCGGGGATGCTTAAATCATTAATTGGAGTAGGTAAAGCAATATCTGATGAATAGCCTTGAATGGAAGGCCAGTAAAGCAACATTCTGGATGAGGACAATCTGATGCAGGCTTTCTGCCTACCTTTAATATTAGGTTTAATTCTGATGTACACAAAATTGGAGGGCCGTGGCCACAGAGAGAATACATACGTTTACTTTGAATGAAGGACGCACACCATCGTGTGCTTTGAAATTTGTCACCTTTTGATTCAATTTCTGTTCGGCTAAGAACAAAGCATCCTGAGAGGAACTATGGAAAATAAACAATGTGTTTTCGTAATCGAGGACGAAATCCTCAATAGGATGCCTGGATCAATTTAGTAGAAAGACTTGGTCAGCAAAAAATACAATTACAGTCTGGCATGCTGTTTATTTTAGCTTTTACAACAAAGCAAGGGTTTGAGGAGCCCGGGGAGAATTTCAAAACCATTTACTATACAGAATCTCCAATTCCAAAAACAGTTCATAATAATTTGGTGGCACATCCAACATGCATTGAATACTCAATAATTAAACAAGATACTTTATCATCCTCTTCAGAGTTCACAATCACATATTCATCCTTTTTCATGTGAAACAATCCATTAATATTAAGGTGCAAAGATCTTGGACAAAAACCAAGGAAAAAAGAAAACCGAGGTCCTTATTTTGCTAATGTGCAGCCCATGACCCTTGATCTCATGAGCTGTGCATTTAAGAGTGATTCTGAGCTGTAGAGAAAGGAAACACGAAATTCTCAGTCTGCTGCCAATAGGACCGGTCACTGGGTGAGGCTTTCGGAGGACGTACGTTTACTTACGGAGCGGCTGTCTGTTCTGAAGCATATCTTTATATCTATGATGCTGGAAATTTTATTTCCTGTTACCAGTATGTGGAGAGTATTGTAAGGCTTTAGGAATTTTCCTTTGAAATCAACACTCTATTAAAAACAGAAACTGGGTAAACCAAGCAGAACCCATAGAGTTGGCTAGAGAAAGTATTTCTAAGGCTCTGACGTTGTGAGAGGGACTTTCTCTCTGAGTATGAGAATCAGGTCTTTCAAGCCTTTCTTAAGGTGAGGCTTGAATGGATATTATTCCATCTATGTTATATGTTACGTAAAAAAGAGGCTGTTTTCATAATCATGCTGTGCATTCTAAGTATAATTGAAACCTATCCATTATTAAAAAATAAGAAAAGTAATACCAAAATATTTATTTGTAAAAAGAATTTCATGATTCTGAGGAAATCACCACCAAAGTTCTCTCCACCCACTGAGGCGGGTTGAGTTGATCATGGCCCATCACTCAGCAGTCTGCAGCAAGCACGGCCGAAGTTTAAAAGGTGCACTAGGAACATTAAGCTTGGCTCCATGTGGAGACCTCGTATGGACAACCTCTCTACTGCTGCAGAGAAAACCAGATTCATAAAAGAAATGCTTCTTCTTTTATAAAATGAGAGTTACAGCCAAGGTATAGATCAAGTAGGAAGCCTGAATGGATCTCCAAAGAATTGAGCTATTTTAATCACTTAGCTGTTTTACCTGATCCTGATTAGTTTTTTTGAGCTTCTAGAATACCCATTATATTCTGTGACATGGTTCCCAAAAAGGTTTGAAAGGTATTATTACAGAAGCTGCAGCGAAGTATTTCTGTGAGTCTTCAGCAGTGTTATTCATCAGAGGTTTGGAGAAGGCTCTCTTGCTTCTTCTAGCTTTGTGAGGATCCACTGTTGTGAGGAAATAAACCAACATTTCCTTACTTCAGTCAACTTGCAGTGAAACACAATGTAATGAACAGAAACCTAAAAGTAAGCTTTCCCACTCAGTTAGGTATACCCTGATAATAAACACAATCCGTTCTACAGAAGAGGTTGCTCACTTCACAGCCCCAATGGCCCAGGAATGGTGGTACTTGGTTTAACAGTATGAATAATGTTTTTCTTTTTTCTTTCTTTTTGGTAAAGGGTTTCTACTTAGGGCATGTGTACTCACTAGAGAGAGACAGAGACAGTGAGAGGGAAAGTGAGAAATCACTCCCCAAGTGGAATGGCCACACCGCAATCCCTCCTCCTCCTCCATTCTCTCCTGGGATCTTGGGCATACATGCACATGTGCCTGGCATGGGTTTCAAGCTACCAGGTCTGGGATTCAAACTGCAGTCAGTCAGGTGGGAGGTCCAGTGACGTAACTGTACGTGGTCTGCTGGCCCCATGAATGATGTTTTTCTAGTCTTTGGACTTGGATGTTCATCTTCAGCATAAGCAAAGTGAAATGAACCGTCAGAGAGAGGGGCAATTTGGAAGCTGGACTGAATAACTGACATAGTATGAAACTTATTATAAAGTCTCCTTCTAACCTGTGTCAGTTCTCTATCATAAACCTCCACAATTCCAGATACGGCAGTCTCCTAACGGACTAGGAATAATCACACAGTCCCACAATGGGTAGGGACATAGCATTCTGAGCATTTTAGGTACTCTCACATATTTTCTATTCAAAAAAGAGTTGAAATTAGAAAGATAAAATGTACATATAGTACAACCTTTCTACAAATAAATCCATTATGTTTGAGCCTGCACAACAGATAAAAGCCTTGGAGGTGATACAGGAATTACTTCAGTATGAAAAGATTTAACAGAGGTGTATGTCCTTTAGGTGACAAGGAAAAGGGTGGTCTAAAGTCGTCAGGCTCCATTCCGTCTCCCTGCTCTAAATGACAGGCGCATGGAGGCTCTCATCACTCTGTTCCTTTCTTTGTAACCTGTCCCCTTTGATTTCTTCTGTTAGTACACCAACGTTTCCTTGGATCACTTGTCTAGAAAGAAGACCGCATAGTACATGCTAACTGGACCGAGGAATATGGGTGTGAGGGTGACAAGGTCCCCTGGTTTGGGTCCAGATGTGACAGTGAACTGGTAAACAGTCATGCCAGCCAGGACTATGCTGAGTGCAGTCTGAAGGCGCGGGGCAGGTATGTTTTACATCTGGGCAGGAGTCCCAGGGTTCAGGTAAAAGAGCCATGTGCTGTTACTGAGTTTCATGACCCAGCCAATACAATTCAGTGGCAAGAACAGTGTCTAGCTGTGATCAGTGATGTCAGGTTATCAGTTCATAGCTTTCTTTTCTTGACAATGCACATCCTTGTAGCTGCCATTATCCCTAAAGTGAATACGGCGCTTTTCAGTTCACAGCATTCCCGTTTTGAGGAAACTGAGGCTAACTGACTTCCTCCAAGATTCTGCAGTTACGAGGGAACAGAGCCACTATTTAAGCACAGAATTTCTGCCTACTGGCCAGGCTCTTTTGTTCATGCCATGCTAGGGCAATGGTTTTGTTTTTGTTTTTGTTTTAAAAATCAATGCATTTATGTAATAGAGAGATTAACAATGCAGGGCTACATTTTCCCTGCTGGAGATAGATTAACACTACAGTGAAATAATTTTTGTCTGTTGACTTTTTTTTTTTAAAATCAAGTATTACAGTTAAGATTTAAAATAAGACAGAGTAATTTGATTTGAAAAGCAAGTAGATATGTTGAATGGAGTCTAGTGAGAAGAAGTCTGGGGGGGGGATATTATCTAGTTACCCATACTACAAACTGTCAAAATGAACATGAAACTTATCTGCCTTAAGAATAAGAATCCATTTATATGGCTTTGAAGTGAGAAGTTCTCATCTGTGTATATCAGAGTCATTATATTTACCCTAGCATCCTCTGGAGTCTTGAAGTTAACTATTTTTCCAAACTCTTTGGCATGAAATACAGACTTCACCCGTTCCTATAAACAGAATAAACAATTTCATTAAAAATAAAACTCAGTTGTAGAAATACAATAAAGCAATTCCACCCAGCTTAACTAGTCTCTGCTTAAAGTGTCTATCTTACACAAATCACACACCTTAAAAACAAGTCAAAAATAAGAACCCAAGAAGCAGCAAAACAAACATGAAAAAAAAAAACAACTATATTCTAATACACTCATTGTCAATAATCCTAAACTAAAAGCTTGAATTGTGGCACAGGTGGAAGGGCGCCACTGCCCAAGGCTCAGTCCACGTGGAGGTCCAGGTATGGTTCCCAGGGCAACCTAAACAGGCCGGCACAGTGGCTGGCACCCGTAATCCCGGCTACTAGGAGGCTGGGGAGGAGGACTGTGACACACGAATTCTGTCCAAAATGCCTTTGTGTTTCTCTTATATAAAAATGGAAACAATTAAAAAAATAAAAACAACTTAAAGGGTTGACATAGAGGATGAGAAGAAGAGAAGTCTGGGAATATTGCTACTAGTTTTCCTTTCCAAATAATTCCTTAGTTGTGTTTTGGTTCGTTTTGCTACAGGACACGGGCACTCACTAGAAACAGAGATGGCGGGGAGTGAGAGAGGGAGTGAGAAAGCCCTCCTCAGGGGGATGGCCACACGATGATCCACTCTTTACTCAAGACCAACACATATGCCTGGTGTGTTTTTCAAGCTGCTAGGATTGCAATTCAAAGTACGCAGTCTGCCACATGGAACCTAGCCGCCTTAACCTCCCTGCCATCTGCTGGTCCTCTAAGGATTTCTTTTTTAAATCATTTTTTAAAATTTATTTTTACATTTTCCCATAAACATTTACTTTATATATCAAAAAATTTGTGCTCATATTCCATAGTTCTTGACAGTTAATAAACAACTCTCAATACTTTAAAAAACTGAATTTTAAAGATAATGTTCAAAATATTTGTTATGATTTTGTTTATGACTCTCTAACAACAAAGACAGTATGGTTTTAAATATTTTTGAGAAAATATTTACATGTCAACCCCTCAAAGTGTTATAAAGCAAACACCCAGTACACAATTCACACATGAACCTTCTCAACTCAGCCCTGCCTACCAAGTATTCTGTGATATACCATCTGCTAGCAAAGATCAGTCTCTTTTTCTTCCTTCAACGTCTTCCTCAAGATAATCCTCTGGTTGTGGCCGCTCTTTTGCAATCTCTACTGATTACAATGCTGGGCTGGAAAATCCAGGTTATTTTACGGTACGAATTCTTTCATATAGCTTCTCTAATCCTCTGGGCCAGGCAGAACTGTTTATATTGCCAGGCCATCTTTCAAAGAGCTTCTTTTGGCTTACTTAAGATCTACTTTAGTTTCACAGTTTTCTGTTTTAATCTTCAGATATGACATTCCAGTCAAAGCCCTGTCCAATAATGAGTATTTCCAATTTCTGATTCAAGGCAATAGGTATTATTGAACTTATGCAAATAACCATTCTATAAGGTAGTTTTTGATATCTGGCCATGAAATAAAAATTGGGTCCATCTCAGAAATTATAGGGACCAGCAGTTAGCAATAATGACTGTTGCTGGACTCCCATGTAGTCAACTGTGATTTGAGTCCTGGGCCTGCTGGCTTAAACTCACGCTGGGCGTGTGTGTGTGTGTGCCTAAGATCCTGAGAGGAGAATGGAGGAGAAGGGATTGAGGCATGGCCATCCCCCGTGGGGGGGTGATTTCTCGCTTTCTGTCTGTCTCTGTCTTTCTGGTGAGTACATGTGCCCTATAGCAAAAACCTCTCCAAAAAAAAAAAAAAACCAAACTTATACACGTGTGTGTCTACATCTATATGTATGCATACACAGGTGTTGACTGGTATGTACATGTGAGTATGCAGTTTGTATATACTTCCAACATTTTCAAGACAGTCACTAGTAAGAATGTAGTTCAGAATGAAAGAAGTCAGAGTGGGCTCGGAAAACTTGGCAGATACTAAGCATTTTATAGACAAATAGAAAAAAATGCTACTACGGAAGATGAAGATGGTGTTTACCTTTAAAACTACCAGTAGAGCAACAGAAGAAACAAGGTGGAAATTTTACTATTACTACTTTAACAACTATTGTTAACTCCTATATGTAATTCAGATATATATTCATGCAAATATAGACTCAAGAAATCAGATTCTTCGATTTTAATAAGAGAAGACTGCTGATACAAAGTCCCCCTCAGAAAAGGGGAAGTGGGAGAATACAAAGAGAGATGAGGAAGTGTTAGCCTTAAAAGAGAAAAAGACACCAAAAAAGCCAGGAAAGCACTATGAGCCACAGCAGGTTAATATCCATGACTCATATGTGGGGAGAGTGGGATTCTGTTACCCAGTATAGAACAAGGGCTCAGGGATGTCGTCAATGTAGCAGCACAGAGGGGAACACATTTTTTCTTGCCCTTTCTTTCCTTTAAGCCTGAATAAGATAGCAGGTAGATAAGAAAACCATACTAAGACAAAGTTTCTATCTATAAAACAGAAACATTACAAAAGTAACAAAGACTATTTTGATGAGCTCTTTTTTTTTAAAAAAAAAGAATTATTTCATTTTACTATTTATTTATTTATATTTGACCAGAGAGGGACAGAGTAAGAGACAGAGACAGAGAGAGAGAGAGAGAGCAAGCAAGCAAGCCACTAGGTCCGGGACTCAAACTGTGGTCGGTTATGTGGGAGTCTGGTCACCCTTAACCACCACGCCATCTACTGGCCCCAATAAGTTCTTTTTAATTCAAAGTTTTTAGGGAAAAAATCTATTCAACATACCTTTGCTTCAATGCGCAGTCTTCTCCCATGAACAATGAATGGCTCTTTGGTAAATTCATCAAAACTATATTGCCATTCACATGTAAGCTGTCCAAATGTTCCCTTTGTTACAAACAATATACCACTGTCAAAGAAGATAAGGGAAAGAATAACAGAATCAGCTTTAAAAATTGAGACACTTACATCTAAACACAGCAACACACACATTCTTTCCAAGTACGCATAGGACGTTCACCAAGATAAACGATATTCTGGGTTTAAAAACAACTTCAGTGAATTTAAAAAAACTGAAACTATGAATGAATTTAAAAAAACTGAAACTATGAATCATAACGGAACTAAACTTGAATCCAGTAACAGAAAGAATATTTCCAAATGCTTGGAAATTGACACTTCTAAATAATCTATCAAAGAATCTCAGAGGAAGTTAGAAAATATTTTGAACAGAATGAGAATGAAAATACAACATAAAACTTGTGGGATGCAGCTAAAGCAGTGCTTAGTGAGAAATTTATAGTGTAACATAGTTATATTAGAAAATCTGAAGCACTTACAGTCATACATATAAGGTACTTCCTAAGAAATAAGAATAATTTGCAGAGCCAGTGACCAGCCATATTTTGGGGAGAACTTCCAGATAGTTAATGCTGTAGAATAAACATTGCTCCAAGTAGCCTACTACCCAACCTACGAGAGAGATGTTTTTCTAACCACATGGAGCCACACACCGAGAGCCTTGGGTTTTTCACAGGTAAAATCAAATCCTGTTACTGCCCATTTTAGAGAGAAATAACAAAAGGGAAATAATTTGTTCACCCTTTAAGTGACTGTCAGTTAATTTGTTATCAAATCATATTAGAAAAAGAAAGTGAGTTACCGTCTGGTTATCATTAACATGTCTGTTTTATTGATCATGACATGCGTGAAATATTTGTATTTTGCAAATCTTCCATTTTCCATGACCTAAAATTTAAAAAAAAGCAAGAGTAAGAAAATTAATAGTACCTCTCTTCTTTTTTTTTTTTTTTTTTTTTTTTTTTATAGTACCTCTCTTCTGATAGAGGTAATACCTTACTATCTTCTAAAAACCATTTCTTAATGGGGGCAAATCATTAACACATATATAATAAACATACCAATATCAAAAAATTGAATTAAATATTCACAGTCATAGCAGTTTTCCTTTTAAAAGCATCTACTCTATTGCCTCTTCTTTTTTTTTTTTTTTTTTTTTTTTTTTATAGTACCTCTCTTCTGATAGAGGTAATACCTTACTATCTTCTAAAAACCATTTCTTAATGGGGGCAAATCATTAACACATATATAATAAACATACCAATATCAAAAAATTGAATTAAATATTCACAGATTGCTGTTTTCCTTTTAAAAGCATCTACTCTATTGCTTTATTAAAGATTACGAAATGGTAACAATGCCAATCTTTAACACCCAGATTTGTAGAAGATACTACTGTCTTACAAAGTTTAAATTCAATCAAATGAGGTATTAACTATTATAGTCATTTTATCTAGGAAAATATATCAGTATTTGATAATGTCTGTATAAAGACATAAACCCTAGCAGAATTTTAGTTTTAGACATTTATTTAATTTCTTTCACAGCAGAGGAGAGGGAGGGAGAGGCACACACTTCTAATAGGGTCTCATCGCTTTGCAATCCCCCGACCTCGCAGTGTTCCAGCCTGCTAGGAGGACAGGCATCCTGGTTGACCAAGGATCCAAACACCTGGTCTTCCACATGGCCTCCAGATCTGCAGAGTGGGACCCTACTGTCTAGGGCACTAACACATATGCACCACATAAGTTACTATTAGCCCCTAGCTTGGCTCTTCCCTGCAAATCCTCTCCCTGCCTTATATGCCTTCTTTATGATCCTTGCAATTCATTAAAAAAATAAGGAGCAGAGGTTTCTGGACAAACTCTTAGAGACCCTCGAGGCCTATTTATCTATACCTTTATTTTCAAGACTGTTAAATTATTTTTCATCTTCAACATGGTCTGTTAACAATACTTTGCTCCAGTATATGTAAATATAAACATACAGTTTAAATTCTGTTTTCAATAACATTTGCCGTAAGGATGAAGTTATTTTGGCTATTTAAAATAAACAGTAGGCTAGACTACTATTCTTGTTTTAAGTTTAATTTCTTCCACGAGTGAGAGAAATAGAGACAGCATCCCTAATGAGGTCCTGACACCATGATCCACATGCAGCCCCAGATCGTGGGCCTGTATGGGCCTGGCGTACTCGGGCATCTCTGGGCACAAACCTTAAATCTTTCCATGTGGGTCAGCCTTGCCACGTTTTTACCACTGTGTCACTGTGAGGCTTCCTAGACTACTGTTTTTAAAGGCAAGCAATGACATTGTGACTAAAATTCTTCAAGAAGAGGCATGTTGAGAATTTAGCCAAATGCTACAAATTGTGTAGAAATTCCAAGAGGACATAAAGATTCTTTAAAAATGTGTTCTACAAAGCTCTGTCAGAAAACAAATTATTCACCTGAGCAGCTAAGAAATAACTTTATAATAATCTTAAAATCAAAGGCTGACAGAATAGTCATCATTTCTATTGGAGACAAAATAAAAAACCATGAACCAGCAAGATGAACCATACAGAGTATTGCATGGAAGAAGTTTCTAACTTAAAAGATCACAAAATACTGAGGAAAGAGATCTACTATTTACTACAGTACGTGGGGCAAATAAACACAAGTACCTTGTATTACAAATGAAAAAGGATAAAACTACAGATCCAGAAGAAACTAATAATTACTAGAAAAGTCATAAAGTATACAAATAAATTTGAAAGCCTAGGTGAAATAGATCATGTTTTAAGGAAATATAAATTATTAAGAAAAAGAAGTATCAAATCCTGGAGAGGGAGAGTAGAAATTATTTGCAGATGGTATATCCAGAAAAACTTAAGTACACAAAATCCAGTAATCGATTTGGAAATCAAAGGAAAAAGTCATGTTACAAGGGTAATAAAAAAGTTAAATATTTATATATGTTTAACAAATAATGTGTAGAACTTATGTCATAAAAGCCATAATACTTATTAAAAGAGAGGAAAAAATTTCTGAAAATGGGAAGCCATGTCTTAGCCTTTGAAGTAAAAGTTCATTACAATACAGCTGTGATTCAGACCCCACCCTCTCCCCCAGTGTTTATACACACGCTAACAACATACATTCTTGTGATTCCAAGGCGGCTGGCTTCGGAAGAACAAATGACAGAGGAGCAAAATGATTTTACAGTTTAGATAATGCCCAGTAAATTATAAAAGCAAAATGAGGAGAACTTCCTAGCAGATATTAAAATAAATTATAAAGTTACAGCAGTGAAATAGTTTGGTGTTGGTAAAAGTATGCACAGACAAACCGATGGAAAGAATACAGTTTATAGAAACAGACCAATATGCATATAAGACTATAAAATTCTATATATCCAAATACAGACATTTATGAAATCAAGACAGATTTTAAATTAGTGAATAAATGCATATATTATCAAGTAATGGTGTTTTAGGTAAACAACTGCCTAAAGCTAGATCATATTTCTCATTTTACAACAAATTAACTCTACATGGGTCAATAACTTAAGTGCGAGAAAGTGACAGTACTAGAAGTAACACTTTAATAATTTTGAAAGTAGGAAAGGCCAAAAATGTATTAGGTCATTGGGAAAGTCATGACTTTTTTTGCATGTTTTTCTGTGTAAAAATGTGTCACGACTTTCCTGACAACCCAATATTTAGATAAACATGTTTATCAATTAAAAATTTGAAAATATATAGAAATTAAACTCTCCTGGATGACAAGACAATAAGCAATTAATTGAAAAGAAAGTATAATAACAACACAAAAATCAAAGGGTAAACTGAAAAAGTATTTGTCAATGCACATAGTTATGTAATTAAATATTATAATTACAATAAATTATTATATAATTAATATAGGAAATGTAGCAATTTCAATAAAAAAGTAAGAAGAAATGAAGAAAAATGAGTAAACCAAAAGAAAAATCTGTGAATAAGTAGTTCGGTAAAAAAAAACTTGACCGGTAAACATGAAAAACTGTTGAATTTAACTTAAAATCAAGAAAATGCAAATCTATTAAACATACTCTTTGGGCCAGTAATTCTACTGTTGGGATTTATTTTATATAACAGTATGCCAGAATACACATAGAACTAAGAATCTTTACAGCAATACTGCGTCAAAAGCAAAAATCAAAACGTCTGCTAATATAGGATAGGTTAAATCATGGTGCAGTCATTCACTGGGAGATAAAGTCCAGGGGGGGAAAGGTACAGTTGGCTGTTTCGTCAGCCCTCCATATCCATATATCCATAAGGTTTGCATCTGTAGATTCAACTTTTTTTTTTTTTGAGAGGTTTTTGCTACAGGGTGTGTGCTCACCAGAAAGACAGAGAAACAGAAAGCAAGAAATCACGGCCCCCCCCCCCCCCCCAGGGGGGAAGGGCCACCCCTTCTCCTTCATTCTCTTCTCAGGATCTTGGACATGAACGCACACGAGGCTGGTGTGAGTTTAAGCCACCAGGTCCAGGACTTGAACTGTGGTCAACTACATGGGAATACAGTGACATAGCTATTACGCCAACTGCTGGTCCCAAAACAAAAATATTTTAAAAGCTAAAAATAGGGACTTCCAGTGGGATGGTGGTTAAGGCAGCTGGATCCCACAAGGCCAACTATGTAGTTCAAGTCCCAGACATGCTGGCTTGAAAAACCTATTGGGCACACGTGTTTGTTTCCATGCCCAAAATCCTGAAAGGAAGGAGAAATGGAAAAGGGAATTCAGCATGACCATCTCCAATGGGGATGGTGTTTTCTCATTTTCTGTTTCTTTTCATAAGTGGATACATCTTCTGGTAAATTGGAAAAAAAAAGATAAAAATAAAAAATATATAGATATAATTACTCACATAGTATTGATATTTGATTAGACACAGGTTAAGCATTTATATGAAATGCTTGGAACCAGAAGCATTTTGGATTCTGGATTTTACAAAATATTTTAGATTGGTCGTATACATGTAATGAGTTATCTTGGGGATGGGACCCAAATCTAAACATAAAATTCTTCTATTTCACAGTCACCCTATGCATAGCCTAGACATAATTCTATAAAATTTTTTTAATAATTTGGTGCATGAAATAAAGTTTGTGTACAGTGAATAGAAAGAAACAAAGACGTTACTATCTCAGCTGCCCATGTAGATAATCTGGTTGTTAGGCATCACCATCTGAATTTATACGCTGCAAGCATTTTTCTGGTCTGCACACATGCCATTTCACTCCTTGTGGGTGTGTCTGCATTGAGGAATCCGATAATATGTGGAAAAGACAAGTCATGGCTAAAGAGGGCTGAGGGGGATCTTTGTTTTCCCTCAGAAGTGTTGAACGAATAAACCTTGTTGTGCTCATTTTGACTGCAACCCATCAAATGAGGTCAGGTGTGGAATTTCATACTTAGACTTTCATGCAAACACTCAGAAAGTTTCAGATTTTGGGAGCATTTAGGACTTCAAATTAGGGATCCTCAACTTGCATTTTAAGTGGAGATGATTTAAAGTATATAAAAGGGGCTTGCTCTGTGGGTTGGTGGCTAAGGCAGCCAGCTCCCACATGGCCAACTGTGCCTTTCCAATCCTAGACCTGGTGGCTTGACAAACTTGCTGGGTGCATGTGTGTGCATGCCCAAAATTCTGAAGGGAGGGACAGAGGGGAAAGGATTGTGGTGTGACCACTCCCCATGGAGGGTGCTTTGTCTTCTATCTCTGTTCCCCATCCCTTTCTCCCTGGTAAGCCCATATACCTTCTACAAAAATAAACAAAATAAGTATGTAGGCGAATGCTTATAGTATATGCAAATAGCAAATACTACATCTTTACATAAAGGACTTGAGCATCCACA